TGGGTCCGACCTGTCGCTCCTTTCCTAATTGTAATTCTCGACTCACTCTCTCCTTGATTTCTGACTTTATCCACTGTCCTATTTAAGATAGAGGCATTAAAAGCCCCAAAATAAACTAATGGGGGGGGGGGGAGTCAATAATTAAAATAATTAGAAAGATAGAGCAATAAAATCTGTTGTAAATGTGTTTTGGAGTGATTGAAAATGTAAATGATCTTGAATGTAAAACCTTGATTTCTGCTGAATGTCAGAAAGGACATGACTTCAGTGTCCTCGGCAGCAGCTCTGACCCTGATTTATTCTCCCTTTTAATCACGTCAGGTTTAATCAGAGGAAGAGCTTTGATATAAAGGATGTCAGACTGTCTTGCTAAGTCCATGACTTATTTTTGTCTCAGGAAAAAGCTTTATTGGTAATTCAGGAATAATATGATGATTCATACTCAACTGATGTTTACAAAGAGCAGAATAACAGACAGAGTCGTGTATGCGGGGGCTCGGGCACTGTGTCCCACTCCTCTATGTGCATGGCTTTGTGGAATGATCACCCACAAAACTGTTTGCCAGCCTAATCTCAAAAAAGCTGAATTTATTTGTGACATATCCCTGCAACACTGCCCCTCTGTCTGTTAATTTACCACTGCCTGCCTCTGTACTATCTATCACTCAGACTCTGCATGTGTGCTGAGGCGTGACAGCACTTATTCGCTCTTTCTTTTTTTGACAAAACCCCGAGAGATTTATTAAAAATACCACAGTGCACAAATCTGTTTCTTTCTTTTTTTTTTCTTTCCGCTACAGATCAACAAGCGGGTCGAGGTGAAGCGTTCACAACAATTTGTTTCTTGCCGTTGTCATTAGGTGTGTGTGTTTGTGTGTGTGTGTGTGTGTGTGTGTGTGTGTGTGTGTGTGTGTGTGTGTGTGTGTGTGTGTGTGCTTGACAACAGATTTAGGATTGAGAAAAAGCTGCAGAGAGGGAGAGAAGTAGCTTTGCTGAATGAGAGATGTGCATATTTAATATCACAGACAGACAGAAAATCTTTCCCGAGTGTGCATCCGTCTCCCCTCTGCAGTCTGAGACTAGAATGAGTGACAAGAATGAATCAGAGATAAGAAGGAATACAAATGAATACAAAAGAAACGACAGCAGAGAAACAAAAAGGCAACCAGTGGAATGTCAGATTTCAATTTTATGTTAAATCCAAAACTAATAAAGGATTTCCCAAAGCACATCACCAAATCTCACGGACAAATCAGGATCAAAACTCAAAAGAGCAAGTGGAACCTGAAGCTGTATAATGAATGTGTCACACAGATTCTGTGCTCCCAGCCTTAACTCAGCATGTCTTGAGCAAACTGTACAAGGAGAATTAAATGATCTCATCAGATCACAGAGATTTCTTCAGGTAATGGGGGGGGGGGAGTAAGCCAGAAGGTCACCGGAGCATGTTCAATGTGCTCTTTTTTATCAGTTAACTGCTTTCTACCAACATGGGGACTGAGTACTAACAGGTTGCCATGCTAGTCTTCTTTGTACTTTGAACTCCATGAGGAAAATACCATGAGGGAGGGTCTCTGTGTGTGTCTAATGGGAGAAAAAAAATGGCCTTACATTTTTGTTATATAGCTCTGTTTAACAGTGTTTAGTTTTCCCAGGATAAGTCAATGCTACATATAAAATATTACACTTTGACTGAATCAATAATTCAGTCAAACAGTTTTCTGTCCTCTCACAGATTTTTTTTACCAAACACAAACATGAATAAATGGCATTTGAAATATAAACAAGACTTGGGCATTAAACATGAAATATACATCCAGATTTTTGTTCATTCAAAGCATCCTTACAGGTTATTCTTTCTATAATAAGCTCAGGAACATGTGATTTGAGGCTGTTTTACAAATGTTTATTTTATTTTGCAGATTCGTCTTAATGAAACACCAGGTCAGATACTACTTTTGTATTACTGCACAATAAATACCTCCCCATTCTCTTTTGTATTTAATTGCTTCCTACAGGATGCTCAGAAAGCAGAGCTGGCATAGATACAACTCCACTGGGTCCAAAGATTTAGCCTTCGTCAATGTTCCACGCAACATTTGGCAGAACAAGAGCCAAGAGCAACAGGGGAGCTGACATCAGCAACATACGCCATCGGAGATTAGTCACGACAGCAAGCCAGCCGTCCCCTGTCCCCTTATGTCCCCCCAGCCGGGGAATCAGGAAGAGACGTTATGATGGACACCTGTCAAGGCTCATCTGTCAGGAAAGTACATACACTGTAGACTGTGTGTGTTCCCCGATCAGGTGGACAGGATGAGAGGCTTCTTTTATGTGTGCAGGTGTTTGTGTGTTTTTGTGTGTGTGTAGATGGCTATGTTTAAGACAGAGCCCGCAGGGAGAGAGGAGTAAAATGATTGCCAAACATGGAACAGCTGCTAAAAGGAGCTCCACAGAGGAGCAGGGAGGACACAGGCCTAATGGAGCTACAGATCGCTCCGTGGTTGCGCTGTCCGTCACTTTCAGCGGTACTTTTCACTTTGCTCTGACTTATTCCACTGATGTTAAATCCTACTAAATATTAATCAGAGGAGTGTGCCTTTCAGAAGCCTGTTGATAATAATTCTGTAGGTCTGTAATTCTTATGATATTTTCAGAAGCAAAAAACACACAAAGACAATTAAAAATGTTTATTTTAATAAACAAAGTTGTTTATTGCTACAAAAAAAATCTGCACTCATTAGCATAAATCCACATCAAATCCCTGGATCATCTGCTCTTCCTGTGTACACGTTACTCACTTATATTAACTCACTCACAAACATTGGCACAAAGTGGATAACAGTAAATCCCAGAGAAGAACACTTGCTTTTTCTGTGGTCTTTAGACAGATTTGGATGCTAGGGAAGCCAACTGTCGTAAGATTTGCTGCAGAGAATAGAGACTGTCTCTCTGTACGTATGCTGTGGCACAGTGGCTTCCCGAGGACTTAATATAATACTTCCACAGCACTCACAGAAGTGACAGGGGAATACATTGATCCAGGATTAGAGAGATGAGATTCACAGAGGTGACCAAAGCAGAGAGGAGTGAAGGAGGAGGAGGAGAGGGGGTGGCTGGTGTGATGTGTAAGAGGGAGACATGAGGGGGTGGGGGGGAGTCTGGAGAGACAGTAAGAAGAGAGAGGAATCTTAATAAAGAGAAAAAGGGGAGGACAAGGAGAACGTTAGGCCAAGCCATGTGCTTCTGTTTTTTTCTTCTGTGGAACAAGAAGACAAAAGTGCTGAGAGAGAGGACAGCAGCCACAGAGTCTAGTGTGAAGGGTGAAGGTATAGTGTGGTATAAATCCCACTGTAGCTAATGAATGACTGAGGACCGGTCAGGTGACTATATCTGTTAAAATGTGTTACATACCAGCCTATATTAGTTATGTACCACTAAATGGGTTGAACATCGGTATCAGCCTATCAGCCCTGTTGACAGACATTAGATAGTATTGTAGTATTCAGCTATGTCAGCCCATGTGTTTCTGCTGTGTTGATTAATTTAAAACTGGCAAACATGTATTTATTGGGCAGAAGAAGTCACCTGTTGGACAAACTCTTGGACTGATTTTTTCTTCATGCAAACGTCAAAGAAAAAGTTGGCAGTGTGGGAGTCTTACACCGTGTCTGGGAAAGATCAACAAATTAGTGTTGTGCTCATGGTGGATTATTGTCGTGTTGATTTTGTAAAGAATAAAACAAATGATACGGTCTAGAACTGTCCTTCTTGGAAAGTGTCTCGATAAAATGTTTGCTATAAATCAGCACTATATAAATAAAGAGTGATTGTTAAAATGTTGATATGGTAACGAATTATCAAATAGTTGACCATCTAACCTCCAGACATGGAGCAACATTTGCATTTATTTGCAGACATTCATGGTGTGAATAAAAAGTCTATAATTAAGTCTTTTTTAGCTCCATTTTTGTTCTCCACCTGGAAATATTTCCCTCTTCATCTACTTAAAGAGCCTTTGTTCTTTTTTTTTAATGCTGGCAACGCCCACAACCTCAATTTCAGAATGCTTTTCAACAGCGCTTATTGTTGCTTGCTAACAAATGTTGTCCCTCAAAACTCCTGCCTCCCTTGATAATGAACTCTGATTCTGTTTTAAATTCTGTATGCCTAATATTTTATTTGATTTAAGGAAATTTCCCACCGAAAATGTCCTTGTGTTAGCAGCAGCTCTACACCTGGAAGTACAATCCTCTTAAAAACAAGTCTGGGTGCATAAAATGAGGTAAAGGATCAGTCCCTCCTTCGCCATTATTGTTGATTTTGTCAACAATAATGGGGGTCCCGCCCCATCATGATTTGATATTTCTTCAACTTTCTATAAAGTAAATGTACTTTCAGTCGATCATTGGAATTATGAACTGCAGAGGTGTGGGCTCGAGTCACATGATTAGGAATGTGTTTTTCCTTCTTTTCTGAAAACCTTAAAATATGACGTGTGGCTGTGGGAACATGGTCACCCTGACTATTTTTGTGTGTTTTGAATGTGTCAGCTTAGGTCATCGAGTTGGTAGAAATGGACTCTTTCTCCATCACTGACTGAGGGAGGTATTTCATAGAGAGGTTTTAAAGACACCAGCCTCTTTTAAACACTGCCTCACAGCTTCAATTTAACTGCAGACAGCTCTTGTTTATTTTTGGCCATCAGAGAAATGCTTGTCGATCCCTGGTGTGAAGTCTGCAGATGACTGTGATGCCATGCATGCCAATGCATGGGTTATCGTTTATACCAAGGAATTTAAGCTTACAAACTCTGAATCTCTCCGGGTTGAGCTTACAAACTGGCAGCAAGTAAGTTTGTAAGTGAGCAGGTCAAGAATAGCTGGGATGTATCCGTTTATGAGAAATTGGCAGGATGCACCAATAGGCCTTGGCTGTTTGGGTGAGGCGGGCTGCTCTCCCAAAACCTCCCAGAGGGCAGAGCGGGTGAGTTGAAGAGATAAAGTGTCACCTCAGTGGGGTGTGGCAGAGGGGAAATTCCTTGTTCACATTCCAAAGTGAATTTGGGAAGTCTGGATGCCTCAGCAGAAAACCATGAGCAGCAACATGAATGTCCAGGGCCTTGTATCTGTGACTCAACCTATCTATCCCCCTCAATATAATCCATCGTTAAACATCATGTAAATATAAAAACTAAGATTAAGCAAATAACTTAAACCTGTAAAGCCAGTTGGGGAGAATATGCTCCCTCATGGTTCTATGCTCGAGAGATCGTGGGCATATGAGATGTTACAAATCTTAACCTTTGGGAGTAGACCAGGTCTGCCACATACAGTCCAAAGTTGGCAAAAGAGAACACGGCCACCACAATTTTGCTGTCCCATGGACATTTCCCCTGAGGGCATGATGATGGTCTCCATGGCGTGCCATATTTGGTGTCAAAGCAGAAAACAGGCCACACTACTGATGCACTCAGGTAGAGCAGAACCTGCAGCAGGGTGCACACCACCACGAAGCGATCAAAGGACATGCAGCGAACAGCCTTGGTCTGCCCACACACGGTCATGATGATCACCAGTGCAGTCAAGGCGAAACAGAAAGCATAGACAACCACGCAGTAGACTGTGCCGGCGTAGCGGTAAAACTCGCTCCCATTGGCTAGAGCTCCAAAGATGATGCACGCCACGAAACCCTGAACTACTTTGAGGAGGCCAGAGACGGTGGCCATGTATCCCACAACCGTCTGGCCTGGCCTGGCTCGACATAAGGCAACCTCCGCCCCGTAGGCAAGAGTGCCCAGGATGGAGCAGACGGTCACAGCGATGCGGAAGTGTAGGACATCACATCCAGCATAGGGGCACTCAGATCGGACGAAGAAGAGAGGGTAGACCACAGAGGCCGTCACATACCTGCAGGAGAAGACAGAATATATGTAAATTTGTTAGCTTACAATGATTCATGAACACTTGCAGAAGAAGTTGGGTAACATTAGCATTCATTTAAATGAATGTCATTGTCATTCAGCTTGATATGATATGAATATACTGTACATTGTCCATTCTTTGCTCAACAACAATGCATGGATATTTAGCTGCTAAATGATCGATTACTTTCCCTTTATTGCCACTAACCTTGTCTGTTAGCTGTTGGGTGTGCAGGTAGTGTAGAGTGGGATTATCATGGCTTTACACTAAAATGTAAGCAATGTGAGGGTTGAGACTGAACAGGAAAACGCTGCAGTCCTTCAACTGAAACAACAGCTGAAAGGCGCTAGTATGATTAGGTTGAGAAAGCGCTTTAGATACCAATGGGGGATGTCATTGAGATTAAATTCATGTTTTAAGCAGTCTATGATTGTGAAAGAACAAAATGAAAGTAAAAGTGTAAGCATCAGTGAAATAGGACCCGTGATACCTCAGTATAAGCCTAGCTTCACATATCCCTGTGATAAAAACCAAAGCCATGCAGGCAAAGCCCGGGGGGAAGTTTTGTATAAACATCAGCACTACGCTGACTGAGGAGTTACATCTGAGCATTTGACTTACATGAGTGCCGCAAAGGCAGCACCTGTGACCGTCAGGTTGTCCCAGGACACGGGCAGGCAGCTGTAGAGACGAGTGGCATCCAGGAAAAACACCATAACGGACATGGCAAAGCAGAAACACCATGCCGCCATACAAAACACACCCTGCGAGCCACTGTACCCCGCACTGTGGGTTACCATGGCAATCACAGCACAGCCCATAGCTAACTGGCAGAGGCGGGCAGCACCCAGAGGTGAGCAGAGGGCCCTCTTATTGAGGTATGGACCACCCTGAGAATCCATGAGGGTTGAGAGTCAGAGAAGTTCAGAAATAAATATTCCTCTGCTGGAAGGTTTTTTTTTTTGAGAGATTATGGAAGTCCAGAAGCAGCACAGTAGAGGCTGACGTTGAAGTAAATTTTACGTTGTTGCTCAAGTCTTCCAAAAACAAACAAAGAAACAAAACAAGAATAAATGAAAGTATGAAAAATACAGCTCGAGTCTCAGCCCCGTGTGTTGTTATCTCTCTCCTCTTGTGGAAGTCTGTCAGTGCCCTCGTCAAGTACTTCCACTTTTGACCTCCCTAGATGATGTCACAACATTGTCATGTTGCTGGAATGCACCAATACCTCCAGAGTCAGATTCCTTAAAGACTATCTGATCAATCAACTTCCAGGAAATGCAAAGTATCAGGTGTTTTCAGGTCTTATTTCTAGCTCTGGTGAAGTGGGTATAGGCTCTGGTTTTCAGGTGCATTATTCTGTCACCGCCCCTGCAGAGTCATACCCCACTCATTCTGCTGCGTTTACAGATTATGTTGGGACTTTCTGATAGTCTATTTTTGCGATAACGCTGACTCATTAATCTAAAATATCAAGACTCCGGTGCCACAAAGCAGGAACGATGGGGTGAAATCCTGGCCCGACAGAAGTAATGTTTAGAAAAAGTAAATGTCTCTGCCAAGGAGAACTTGTAGATCCTATAAGTCCAAGATCTGTATCCAGAAGTCCAGTCCAGTAATACGAAACAGCGTCAAGTAAGCCAAAGCAGAACCACGTCTAGTCCAGACTCCGAAATCTCGTGGAGAATCTTCTTCACTCGCTCATCCAGATATGATTGTCCTGTGTCTGCTGCCGTACCGGCTCATGGTGAGTCCACGTGTCCACACGAGTGAAAGACACTATCAGCTCTCCTCAAATGTCAACTCTCATCTTCCCAGGTCCTCCCTGTCACACACTCTCACACTTTCTCCTTCCCCTCTGTGCGCTGAGGAGGGGGCTGCCGGTCACTGGGACCAGAATAAAGTTATTTAGGGTTGGGCCGTCACCACATGAGGGTACATGTGGTTGGGCGTGTAGTCGGGGCACGCAGACCCAGAGGAACGAGGTGAGATAACTGAGCCTAGATAATAAGGCTGCACCCAAAATATGATGTTTTTGTTGAATAATAAAGCTGTTCAAATATTTTAAGGTCAATATTTTATATTTACCACCATATTATCAAACTTTGTTTCTTAACATGTTACTGTGTCAGCATTAGTTTGATCACATATTAAAGGACCAGAATACGGTTTTAGATAATTTATCTTTTGTTAGCACAGAGCTAATCAATCATGCACAAGCAGCTCTCATATCTCTGGAGACCCAAAGAGTACATCATTACAGTATTTTATACATTTAAAGAAACGAATACAAAGTGTAAAACATTAATGAGGCTATTGATTATGAAGTATAATTTAAACTCAATCTCAACCCTATTTAAAAAAAAGAAAAATGTTAAATGAAATCAAAATAGGACGTAATGCCATCATTGAACTTCCTTTAGGAATCTCAGGTTTGTTTGGATTTTGGCGCCCCCTGTGGACAAAGCAGTACCTTCCATGTCTTTCCACCTACTCATTCAAACACTGATAGCAGAGGCTGCTATGTAAAGTGACCATCAGTATTAACTCCTCCCATTCATACACATTTATACACCACAGACGAAGCAGCAGGAGCAACTCGGGGTTAAGTGCAAGGACACAGCGACATGTGGCTTCAGGATCCTGGGATCAAACCACCAACCTTCAGGTTGAGAGATGTCTGACTCCACCAATAATCCACAGCCTCCAAAAAAAAGTCTTCACTGAAATGAGGAAAACTTCAAAACAGATCGTCTATGATTCTGTCACCACAACTGACACCTCTCACATTACACATAGTCACTTGATCAATTGTTAATAAAAAAATATTGATGAGTGCAGTTTACTCAAATTCTAAAGCAAACATTAAAAAAAGTGTCCCTGGACAATGAACTGTAAATAATAATAACCCGGCTAGTGATGAAGGCTCAGTGACAGGTTTTATTTCGCCAGCAGGTAGCCTTGTGCCAAGGATCAATGAACACTTACAATAAGAAAAACACTTTTTTAATCATTTTGTTATTTTTGAATGTATGTTTTAATGTTGCTGAGTGACTCTTTCTGTCCTTACAGTTTACATCATTACAATGTTCAGATAAGACAAACAAAAACTAAACATACTAAACTGGCCAAAAAATCAATCACACTGAACGTCATGTTTTTATTTTTTGTCAGAGATTCGACAGGTCTCCGGTGTAATCTTCATGTCTCTGCTGAAAGTTCTCAAAAATATTAAACACCAAGACAACAAGGAAAACAAAACCTTGTGTAGTAAGCATAATGAGTATTATCACTCTTTGGATAACTGATATTACTTGATCTCACTCCTGATCTCTGATGCATCTCATTTGTCTGTGTGTGTGTGTGTGTGTGTGTGTGTGTGTGTGTGTGTGTGTAATCTTCCTCATATATAATCTCTCTTGAGTTGGCACTCCATGTACACACTATCCTCCTGATCTCATGCCAACCAGCAGCCTCAGTCAGTCCTCTATATTCAGATATTTCAGTTTCTCCTCAGGTCTCTGTCTCCATCTGCAGGTGTGAGCCGGTGAGTTTCACTGTACACAAAGATTTCATACGGAGTCATTTTAAGATGTTCACACTGAAACTCCATCATGTCAAAGTTGAACTAGTCGTCCCCTGATGTTCTCCATGACTGTTAAATGTACAAGACCCTCAGTGCTTGTAGGCTCTGATAACTTAATGGAGAAGTATATTGATAAAGAGATACATAAGAGAATGTGGAAATATATAAAAGATCAATTGACATGAATTACAGATAAATATGATATTCTTTATAAATGAAGCGTCTTTTTATGTCCTTAACTTTGTTTTTGAAAATATTGATTTTATAATCATCATCACTGTGTATTCATGTATGTAATTTTTTTCCCCCAGGTAACTTTTGGGCTTCAAAAGCTTCATTTTGACTCTCCCAATGATGATATAATGATAGCACAAAAGAGGATATATGATGCATTTCCCATCTGAAGTCATCAGTCTGAACCTCTATCAGCTGTCACCAGGTCCCTTAAACTCAAACTGATCTCCAGAGCAGAATCACAGAGCCGTAGACAAACTGGTCATTTATACAACACAAACTCACATGAACAGTGTGAGCTGTCTTTAAACACAAACAGTGTCCACTTCTCCTCAAGTTCTTACAGTCAATTACATGAAAATACACAAATGACAAGTTAAAGATCGCATATTATCCTCCTTTAAATAAATATGTCTCAGAGCTCCCCAAAACATGTCAGTGGAGCTTCTTAGAAACCCCTCTATCTCAGCCTGGCTCAGAACAGGCTGTTTCTGTGTCTGTAGCATTAAATGTAAATGACATGTATTTGACCAAGACCCCCTGAAAGGGGCTTGGGAGGCCCGGGCTTTCTTGCACCACGCCCTATTGTTTACAGTGAGAAGGCAGACTCAGAGGGCAGGACAAACACCTAGCTGTGGGAATGCCCTCCACCTTGGAGGCGGGGTTATTGCCCTCTGTGATGTCATGGATGTCTTTTCTTAAAAGAACCTTAGATTGATCCAGTCATGAAGTAATCCTGCCAGCTTTCTCTGACAGGCAGCTACCGTTTTCTTAAACCAGCTTAATGCTAGTTTTACTGTAACAGACAGAGTACATTTGGTTAATAAAGCGATGTCCTCTCATACAAATATTTTTAACCACCCTGATAAAGGTTATTTACAGTCCCTCTAAAATGTCTATTTAGTTTGGGTGATTGCAGATATTGGACTGGCACCTCTTCTCTTGTTTGCAACAGGAACGTGAGGAATACAAAGGAGAAATTCTTTCTGCATCTTATCCCATCTCCACCATCCCATTTTTCTTTGGTAACATAACAAAGAGTATGTATTTTATCTGCTTTTTGTAAAGTGTTTAAACATTTGTTATGAATTGGCGCTGTACAATTAATAGGCTAATTGATTGATTGCTGTGTTTTCTTTTTCTGCATGTATCAAGTGTTATTAACTTTTAGCTGATCAAACAGATTTAAATGAGAACATTTGCTCTCATAGCTCCATGGATCGAAGGATAATAAGTAATTACTACAGCTGCCACAGGGGGGTGCTATTGTAACAAAGCAGCAGTGCTTTCGCTTTAAAGGCCTTGAGGCCCCAATGTCCTGACAGCACAGCTGCTTGTTAAGCCTCTACAAGTCCATCTTTGTGTGTATAACATGACAATAAGCTATTCTGATGGGCAAGCGGTCATCAATCAAGGACAATTTGTTCTGCAGAAAAGATTCATGCATATTTCTTATTTTAAACGTATTTCCTATGTATGAAAGTAAAGCGGTGAGAGGAAGCATTTACAAAGTTTCAGCAGAGTTAAACTCTGTCACTTCAACACAACTGGCACAAACTTTATTAACCTCCTCTCTGGTTTCAGGGTCTTTCATTATGGGGGGGAGGGGGGTGGGGCGGGGGCATGTTTGCTTTTATTGGATGGGATATCTGAAGAGTGAGAGGACATGTTGGGAGGAGAGAGTGGCAGACAACATAATGCTCGATTGAAGTGTGGGATTCGAACCCCACCGGCCGCTGAGACTAAATCCTCCTTACATGAGGTGCGCAACATAACCACTAGGCTACTGGCTCCCTACGTGTCTGACTTGCTTTATCTGACTCCAGGGACAGGTTGGAAGTAATGAATTTGTTAAAGGCAGACAGCAACGTGGATGGAATGCACTCCTCCCTCCCACATCACACATCTGCTCACCTCTGTGTTCAGCCTCTTTCTGATGGCTCTCCAGCAGCTAATCGAGTGACAGAGAGAAAGATTAAGCACATTCAGGGTGTGCTGGTGACAATATGTGAAAGTGTGCTTGTGTGCTTTTACCTGTGGATGTAAGATGAGTCAGTTCATGTGAGAGTCAAGGGCTGCATGGATTGGTGTCCTCCCCATAGCTTAAGGGCTGCTCCTCTGCTCTTGAACACCAGCCTTCAATTAATAACAAACTATACGAGAGAGACAGACCCTTAGCATGGCTGTGATGGACACATTAACACAGGGGCGCTTCATCTTTTCACAGTTTGTGTGCAAGTCATTTTTCAGCAGGCTATAAACTGTTGATCTTTTCTCCCCGTTAATCCAAAGAGCAACAACTAATTTATTTAGGGGTTTAAACTAGCAGGCACATCTAACAAGAGCTTTCAACACTTTAACTGAATGCAGTTTTGGCCAGCTTAGTTTAGAGATGACACGCCTTTAACATAAATGAATGAGTGACTTCACCTCTAGTGACTCAAACCAAAAATTTTAAAAAGATAATAAACGCAAACAAAACAAAAGTAGTGTCCGGAAAGGAGTAGGTGAGGAGTCAAACTTATATTATGATATATAAGCTAAAATTAGAATTGATATACTCATGTTTCAAGTTTGAGACTCTCTTCATGTCTCCAAAGAAAAGGCTTTAATGTGTCAATAATAATTGTTATACTGAAGAAGACCTCTGTGTTTGAGCAAGTGTGCGGGCCTATCTTCTTCCTCAATAATAATAGGGGAAAGATTTGTTCAGTAATAAAAGGGTTAAAAAAACTGTAAAAGACACATTAAGTCAAGAATAATAAAGAGAAGAGACTTATTAGAGAAAGAATTGAAGCAATGTCTTCACTGTGAAAAACTAAACGTATATTGTTGGAAGAAGTCCTCAACACAAGACAAGACACAGTTTTATACAACAATCGTTTTATTTATTTTGCACTACAGTTTAAGATGCTCACTAAATCAAACAGCCTCGTCAGTTCTCTCATCTTCAACCGGAATGAAACACATCAATCTTCTTGGCAATGAAATGATCACTACTCGCTCGCTCGTGTCATTATTTTGACCATTTTAATACCCCAGAAAAAAAAGCAGCCTTCTCCTACGGTGGATTTCATCCGCTTCACTTTCAAAGTTGAGCCTTTATCAAAGCGCAGTCAAAGGTTTAAGTGCTTCAGTCAGTCTGCAAACAGCTCGTCAGACGCCTGGCGTGGTAAGTCAGCTCACAGCAGCAGCAGATTATCGCAGATTGACCTTATTTTTTACCTGTGCAAGAAACAAGAGACAACTTTTAAGGAAAGGGATATTACGATTTTACATTTTGGTTCATTTCAAAGCTTTGGAAAAAATTTAACTTAACTTCCTATTCTCTGACAATGCTTGTGTGGTCTGCTATAAATAACATGTTGCAAACAATGACTTGTGTTTTATGCATCATATTTTTTTTATAGGTTTTGTGCCGTAGCAACTAGCCAATGTTCTTCTATACGGTCAAATGAGTGTACATGTTCTGCACACGTCAATGCATACATTAAGCTGAATATACCATTCATCTGTTTTTTTACATTCTTATATTTTTACTCCTCAAAAATGTTATATGCTGTAGGAGAAAAAAGAAAAATTCAAGTTTTGAGAAATGCATGTAAAAATTGTTGGGAATTAAAAAAAAAAACTGACTGTACTGGCTGCTAAAAATACTTCTAAGGAAATCCACTTATTCCTCATCAAATAACCAACTTTTTGGAGTGTTTTTAGAAAAGTGCACTTTGAACAAATCAGCGTTATGAGAAAAGACGGCGATGGCAAAAAACACATTTGTAAAAAAAGGTTTTTAAAGTTTGCCCTATGTTCCATCTGTTAACTGTAAATGGCGAGGTTTATGACCGATACCGCAGCTGGTCAGCAGGGGGAGCTCCAAATGTTTTGGCTTCACTTTTCTCCTACTCTTGTGCTGTCCATCCTTTATACAGGCTACGGTCTGCAGCGATGGACAAACCATGCATGTCTATGCTAAAGGGTTGCACACATGTAGTCTATAACTCCTCGATCGGCAGCCCCCCCCCCCCCCCACCCTCCTCACTCTTTTTCTTCTTTTAAGTTTCCTCATGAAAGAGAAAGCAGCCACAAGCTTCTTAAAAAGACACACATGGATACAAGCAAAGAGATCAGCGAGATATAAAAACACGCACATAACATGGAGGGAGAAATATTCTGAACAAAAACATCAATACAGTGACCACCAGAAGCACCACTACAGAACAACATGCTTTGAGAGACCGCAGGGGCTCTTCTGTGTGATGTGGCCCAGCAGCGAGCTCCCCTCCCTGGAGCCTGTGCCTCTGAAGTGGTCCCCTAGGCCGGAGGGGGTGACCATCCAAAACTAATTAGTTCATCCTCACATGCATCTTTATCTTCTGAGTCATGAGAAACTCTGCTCTCTAAAGGCCATTTCTTATTGACAGGGGTTTTGGGGGTTTGTGCGTGCGTGTGTGTGTGTGTCATGTGTCTCAAAGCTTTTGATATTTCACTACAGGAAAAAGGAAGTGAGCTCTGAGGAGGATGACTGGAGTGCCCAAACCCTTGCGTCTGTGTTGGGTTTTTAAAGATGCTTTTACATCTCCTCAGTTTGGTGTGGTTCAAAGTGTGGCGTGTTTTCCTGTTTGGGTCGGGTGGTTTGTGATGGTTTGGAATCTGTCAATAGAAATGTGGTGGACTAAAAACAAAAACAACCAGCCCACCCTAAAAGGAAAGCTTTCCAACTGGACTCTGATGTGTGTGTGTGTGATGTTTTCAGCCCACCATTTAGTGATGGATATGTTCTTCAGTGAGCCATTACAGCGCTCTACTCTCAGTGAACTCAGTGAAGGATCTATATATGCTTCTTTATTTGAGGGCGTATGAAGCTAAATTATTTTCAATGCGTCCATTTTTGACACATACATTTTGTAATGTTGTGAAATGAAATGTGGACAACAGGAACATGAGGAAAATAAAAATGAAATCCTTCCTGCATATTATCCCATATTCTTTTTTGTAAAGCGTCTCGAGATAACACTTGTTATGAATTGGCGCTATACAAATTATGATTGATTGATTGATTGATTGATGGGTTGACATTCGGGTGAAGCTTCAATCTCCAAAGGCTTCTTCAATACGTGCAGAAAAATTCCCCAATGTCCAGGTGTGATGCATGTGTAAACGCAAACAGCAACATCTTTCAAACCAACTCTATCGGCCAGACGCAGTGAGCAGATGTGTGAACACAGCATCAGGTCATATTCAAGAAAATGCTCTGTGAGTAAGAGGTTGGAGTGGGTAACACATCTCAGTGACATCCTATCCTCCAAAGATGACAAATATGACAAGATACACAACTAGTTTAGCAGTGCCAGTGGGGCTTTTTTCACACGTAAGGCGCACTCATACTAGGCAAAAGTTGTCCCGTACCTTGCTCAAGCACAATTCTCCCTGTTCCTGACCACTTGCAGTGAAGTTTCCTGATCATTACCTGCTGCGTCTTTACATTAGCCCACTCTATTTCACGTGGAAGATTTACTAAGGGGCTTGCATGAAATAATCTGGGTATTGTCGGGGTGGAAAGTTTGGCTCTTTGCATTCATACACCCCAACATTTTCAGGAAGTTTTCAGGAGTTTTGTGCATGCTTAAAACACCAATACAGTGTCCAGTTGCAGTCCTAATGCGATAATGTTCTCATGATCGAGTCTTGTCCTTACCTGGAAGCTTGAGCCACTTTGGCACCTTGCCCGGGTCAGATCTGATGGGTTTAGCAGCCGGAGTGTGTGCAGATGGGTCCGGCTTGTCCTGTTCGGTGTCAGGCCTCTCCTCTGGAGGAGGCATCTGTTCCTCAGAAGTAGAAGAGCCGATGAGAGGTGACGGGGACCGGAGCATGCAGCTGAGGGCGTGGATGTAGGATGACAAAAAAAAAAAAAAGAAAAGATAAAAATGTTAAAACATGTCAGCAGGGAAGGTGCTTTGAAGAGAGCATTGTTTTCTGCATTCTTCCTTTGTTCTGTGTTTGTATAAAGCACAAGTTAAACAACTGAATGAGATGTTTAGTGCTGCCCTTGTTAAAGAGGCAGAAGGACAACAGGTGGGGGTCACATTTGGGAAACCAGCTCTATCTTTGGGACTGGAAAATTTGTGTGTGGTTGTGTTTATGAGTGTGTGTGTGTGCGTGTGTGTGTGTTTGGAGGAAATGAGGGTGCACGGGGGCACCTGCTGTTTAGGCACAACCTCAAAGGGATTCCAATGATGACGGCTTTGTGACAGGAAAATAGGCTGGTTGCTGCGGGATACAAGTGCATGTACACACCCAAATGCACGCACAACCTGGCACACTTTTATAATACACACGTGTACACATACCTCGCAATGGACTCATTAGCTTGCATTGCAGAGACAGATGATTCAAGCAGCTCCTTCTTTATGTAAAAATCTGGAGGAAAAAACACAAAAAAACACTGAATTAAAAAAATGTAAACTACATTTTTGTTTTAATACACCAGTATTTATTTTCAAAATCAGCACATGAAAGAAAAGAATGGAAAAGACAAAAACCTGTCTTAGCGTCTGAACCGAAGTATACCAGAGCTCCAGGAAACAGGTCGGCCTGTGACAGAGAGAGAGAGACGAGTCAGAAGCCATCAAAAATGTTAACACAAGATAATTTTTCAATAACACGGAAAAACTGAAACAAATCTGCCTCCTGCAACACGCAAACCAAGGGCTGTTGCCACATCAAGCCAGAGTCAAGTTGATTTTTGAAAATGATTCATTGCTTAGAGATCAGAACCAGTAACCAAAGTTCTTTGAAGCAGACCACAAAATGAGCTCCAATCAAATGGTTAGTGAAAACACTTTCACCCCTGGAGCACAACACTCCTTCACGGCGAACTGCTTAATGGTTATAATGGACCAGTGGCAGGCAGATATTATCAAACGTACAATTATGAGGTACAAACGCAGACAGACTGACAGACAGGCAAGCAAGTGGGGAAAATGTCTGTGACTCCAAATGGAAAGTCGTTAAACAGAGTGGGTTTGAGGAAAACACAAATCTTCTGCCCGTGTGTCGTGTTTGTTGTGGTTCAATCACTTTCAGCAAGCGGTCATCATGTGGCCAACAACCTTTAACTGAGACAGACCTCAACTTTAGAAAAACAACAATGAACTGAAGTATACAAACAGAAGTAGTGCTAAAACAAAGTGGCCTGTTGACGGCAAAGTTAAGCTCTTAAAAATGTCCAAACATAGCATACATACATTTACATCGTCATTGATAATTAAGTAGATTTTAGTTGAATTAGATAGCACAAATGGCCCCATCTGCAGCAGTGTAGAGCCTAGCTTTCATGCCTGCACTCCGGCCGCTTTGTCATTGAAGGGGCCAGGTTGACCGGCGTCAAAAAAGCCAAACCATCTTCCTTCATTGTGATTGGACAGCTCAAAAGAGAGACAATTTTGGGAGGGGGAAGTTGGGATGACATGAAGCAATGGGCCAAAGGCTTAAGTCAAAACTGGGACTATAGGCCCCTGCACATGGAGCTCTCGGAGTAAATCTTGCTGCCCAAGTCTGCAAATCTGCAATCCATAAATGTCCCGTGTAAAAAAACATGTCGACAGGTGAGCGACATTAGAAAGAGAGACTTAGCAAATAACATATCAAAGGTGAATTTAGTCTCCAATACAACCTCGTACACACACTGTCCTTTAAACCCATCCCCTTCTCTCTCCCTGACTTGATGTTCATTGAATTGGGACACTCTGGCCTAATTGCTATTATCTTAGCCCTGTGAGCAGGAAACAATGTGTTACAATGAAACAACGGCATTCCTGCTATCCTGCTCCCTCTGGAATGTGCACTTGGGATGAGACACGACAACAGGACAGGACCTGTGTGTGTGTGTGTGTGTGTGTGTGTGTGTGTGCGTGCGTGCGTGCGTGCGTGTGTGTGTCGTGTGTGTGTGTGTGTGTGTGTGTGTGTGTGTGGTGTGTGTGTGTGTGTGTGTGTGTGTGTCGTGTGTGTGTCGTGTGTGTGAGAAAGAGTGGAGTAAGGGTGAGTGAAATAAGCAGAACAGATCCTGATGGAAGACAGAGGGGGAGACGGGTGTGGGAGGGAACGCCTGGTATCAAAGGGCTTCTGGGTTGGGAAACATTCCTTTCCTGACATGACACAAAAGTGATTAAACTGTGTGTGTGTGTGTGTGTGTGTGTGTGTGTGTGTGTGTGTGTGTGTGTGTGTGTGTGTGTGTGTGTGTGTGTGTGTGTGTGTGTGTGTGTGTGTGTGTGTGTGTGTGTGTGTGTGTGTGTGGGAGAAAGAGAGAGACAGTACACATTGGTGCACTCATGACGATGTAACGTGACAAAAAAAGATGAAAGATTCCTTATGTGTGTGTACTGTATGTGTAGAAGAGGAACAAGGGGGTTTAAGATTTTGTTTTTAATGCTTTTAAGTCCATAATGGATAGAGACGTTGGGGTTAGGGGAGGGAGTGAGGCACAAGAGAGGTTCAGAGAGAGAGAGTGATGGATGAGAAGAAAAGACAGAGAGAGATTGAACACGCTGGAGTTGGGCTACAGGAGATGTGTATTAATGAACAGGCAGGCAGAGTTCATGAGGGGACAAGAAGATGAAAAACAAAGAGAGATGGCCGACTTGCATCAGAACATCAGATACGATTCAGAGCGATCATAGCACACGCACATTTCAAAGTGCGCTTTCAAGGATTGTAATCTTTAGTAGCAGACTCTCTGAGGAGCTGCATGTTGTTGAAAAGGGCTTCACTTACTACTCGACGTGAGTCAAAGTGTCAAAAGAGCAAAGAAAGAGCAAATAAAAAGGCGAGAAAATTTATTCTAAAACTATGTGCCTAAAAAAAATAAAAGAACACAGAGTCCATTTGTTTCTCTTATCTCTCAACTGTTTCATTATTAGAATAGCCCTGAACTCAGAAGGCAACAAAGCATCAAGGCTGCCCATTGCTGTGTGCGTGTCTGTGTGTGTGTGTGTGGAGATCAAAGTGAGGCCTGTATTAACCCCATGTGCCAGTCTGGGAAAAATCAAGCCCAGCTGGGGTCAAGGACAGTGAAGAGGGGGGAACAAGTGTGAGAGTGTGTGGGAGCGAGAGGAGAGGGGGAAAAACGGGAATGTGAAGGGGCTTTGAAGAGGAGAGAGGGACCAGCCCATACGTTTTACAATCTGTGTGTGTGTGTGTGTGTGTGTGTGTGTGTGTGTGTGTGTGTGTGTGTTGAGATAGTTTCAAAGATTGGAGGTCATTGTTTCTTCCTGGATTTGTACAGGCCATTCTTGTTGTTATTCTGTTTATAATTGTGTGTTTTCTTCCATTCCCTTAATGGCAGCATGAGGGGTCTTACCTGAAACAGTGTAGATGAAGTGTCGTTCAGGATCGTTTTTGGAGGTGTGATGACTGTAAGAAAATCAAAGAGGGGAGAAATGTAATAGAGGTCACATATTCCAGAAGGTATGACAAGCTCTGAAAAATTAAACTGAACAAAGTCAAAGTAAAATAAGCATCTAATCACTTTTTGTCATCAAACTCCCTCTAATGCATGAGGAACAAGCTGTTAGAGAAACCAAATATTACATTTTGTTTATGTCTTATTTGATAGAGACAGATACAATATATAAGTAGACATCCACAAAAGTAGGACTTTTGTGGATGCGGATAAAACATTAGAACACTTAAGAAAGAAAAAGAAAGAGTAAACTGGGTCTGCAAGAAACAATAAGACACACATTAAGCTGCAAAAAATTTTACAAGAGTTTGTTGCTGAACTAACTGATTTTGTGGCTCTCTTAAAAGTGAGATGAGCTGACCTCGAAACATTCATTTTTAAAGAAACTCCTGTTTATCAAAACGTTTGTTTGAACTTGTGTCCATCATTTCTCTCTCTTTACTTTTTTATAATAACTTTGTATCTTCTTATTCATTGCTGAGATTTAGGAATGCAGTCTCATACATAAAAAGAAAACGTCTAATGGGGCAAGAAAGTCCTGCATCAGTAAAACCTTCAGTGAGCCTATACTAATTTAAAGAGGGAAAGTGATTATCAGGCTAAACTTCTTTTTAACCTGTCGTCATTTGAATACCGGTGCTTTGTCTGTTTTTCCATTTAATTTCATCTTATTGATTATATTGTGTTAGTAGAATTAAGCGTTTCAATGTGCTGACCGCCCTTTTTCTACATGTAACCAACACAGTTTAGTGTTTAAGCACAAAAAAAAAAAAAAAACCTGAAGTAGCTGTTTGTTTGGTATTTTTGTCACTGAGCACATAGCGCTCTCGGTTGAAAACTGTTTAACTTTTGGAACAACACAGCGCTCCTGTATGTGCCATTTACGTCACTGACCAATCAAAATAAAGACGGGCCGGGACTCCTTTACATGGTTTCATGTTTTCTTGGTAATAATTCCTTGTGTACGAGAAAATATCAAGCATTCGGAGCAATTTAAAACAGACCTAGTGTTCACTACCGAGGGAAGTAATAGTGCTGTGAGCCAACTTTTATTACCTAGCAACAGAAGCGTAGGTGAGAAATGCTCCGAAACTGAGGTCTTGGGAGCTGCCATCTAACTAAAAGCAGAATCTCTTCATAAAAAGTTTAAAAAATGTGAAAATGCCAATCAAGGTTGAACGTGGTTTGTCCACAAGGCACTGACACTTTATATTCAATTTAAATATGTCCTGAACAGTGGATGTGTTGGTCACATTTGGCTAAGGGAATATAAATTAGGGGTAACTTTGAGCTTTGTTTGTTTGTTACATATTGACAGGTAATACTTATGGAGGAAAATAAATGATCGACAAAACTACAAAAAGAACTTCAAAAACTGGAATGATCCGTTGAGATTTTTTCAGGCGGCACTTCTCAGAACAATATCAAACCTTCAAAGAGTAGCAGCAGGGTTGACTTTGTTCTCACTGATGCTGTGATTAATTGAAAGAACTTACACAGGTAGAAACTGAGCTGGGGATTCTCCAAGTGATTCCTCACAAACTGCCTCACAGCACCAACTGCACAAAACAAACACAGAACAACAACGTCAGAAACCGACAAACTCATCTCTCTGCACCTACACCCGTCACTGTGTGGAATTTAGCTAATTTTCAGATGGAAATTCCCTCAGATTTGTTGTTTTGCTGGTTGTCGTGTTGCTGTTGGGTCTGAGGTGGATTAAATCCCTGGAATTACAGACCTGTCTCGTTCTTTCTGTCTCTCTGTCACTCTGCTGCGGCTGCTCTCATAAATGTGGTGAGGGAGCCACAGAAAGCTTTTACATTGCAGCCATACCTGTGGCTAGCCAGCTGAAATGAACACTCTCTTCACCGCACCCACACATGCACACACAAACACACACACACACCTGTCTCCAGGGGCCTGAAGAAGCCCTGCAGAACATGTCTGTCTGGAAACTGGACCCTCAGGACTACCTGGAGACACATGGTTGCAGTGGGTTATTTAAAGTCTGTAAATCTTATAGAAACGTGCAAAAAAAATAAAAAAGAGAAAAAAAAGGAAAAAAGAGGATTTTGATTTGATTATTTGTCATTTTTGCTCACTTTTGGATATCGCTTCATCTTCTCCTTCATCTGTGATTCTCTCAGAGATTTAGTCATCAGTGGCGCCTCCTCCAGTAAGTTCCTGGAAGAACAAAGAAGAAAAGAGACGAGAAAAATGAGGGGAAAAAAGCAGAAAATGCTTTATCCTCTACAGCTACTTGCGTGTGGCCATGTATGTGTGTGCGTGTCAGAGGCATGAGATGAATTGCTGCGGTCGTCTTAATTCCACCTTTGGTAATTGCAGTCATTGACGGGGTAGTAGCGTAGCCACGAGGCAGCCAGCTAAGTCGACACAGATCAAAGGATGTACGCGGTGAGGTCTGAACCTGACGGCGCTCGGTCCATGGCTGGAAGATAAATGTCTACAAATGCCAGGCTTACTAATTGCTCCCTGTGTGCCGTATTTAGAAGCTTTTGTAGTGTGCGGGTGTCTTATGAATGAGAGCATGTTTACAAACACACACAGTGTCTCCCCAGCTGTGGTCTGCTGCGGCCGCATCCAGAGAGAGCAGAGTAAACTCATGTGCATCTGTTTCAAAGAAGCGCTCGTAAATAAATAAAAACTTCAAACTCATAATAAATTTTAAAAAACACACACAGTGATGCCCGGCGTTCTCGTTGCCTTTCGCCTCTCATCATTGCTCTGGTATTCTTCAATTAAAGGTTATACATGGACAAAACACCACAGGACCAAATGCCAAACTGACTAATTATCTGTTCGAAACAGATCAGGAAGACATCTGATCCAGACGTGTTTCTGCAGCAACCAGGTGTTTGGACTAAATATCACACACACTGTTCTGACCCAAAGTCACTCGGCACTTTCCATTTACTTCCTCTCTCACCTCTGACTCTTCAGCTGGGCGAAGCGCTTGCGAACATCATCCACCGTCACCTCAAAGAACTCGTCTGGCAGATCTCTGTGGTCCTCCGAGTTTCTGGACATCATGTCCAGGTGGTAGATGAGGGACTCCCTCTCTATAGGCTGAAGAAGACACAAGACAAAAAATGTCAATGAGGAACAAAGGTTTTCACAATGTGAGGTGCATCTCTTCTCAGGGGGGCTGTGAAGTGAGACTTTAAGAAATGATACTGCATGAGGTGAAAAACAATAATCCACTGGGGAGAAAAGGGCGAGGTTATTTTTAGTAGTTTGATTGACCCACGCAACGTCAGACATAAGTGTGTAGCAGGAACAGTCACCGTGAGATGCATATCGTGGGAGAATTTAGGACACCCTGATAATGCAACTTAAGGAAGACGTTTTTTACATTAATTTGAATTTAAACCGTTCCAAAAACGTGTGTTTAAGGGTGTTACAAGACGTTACAAGATGTTGTGAAGTAATACCTTGGTATACAGTTCAAGAATAACTGAATACTTGGTTACATCAGCAACATATTGCCATGAATATCAAGACTCTGAAAAGATTGTGCAAGAGTCAATTTTCCTAATATTAAGACCTTATACTCATGATATTATGACTTTACTCAACATCATGATTGCATTTTAACTGATCAAGAGTTCCCTAAGAGGGAAGCAGAAGTTGGCGTAGTTAAATGAATCTGGATAATAAGTTTGGAGAAGCAAGGGATGTCTGTTTCATTATCTTTGTTGACATCTATGGCAATAAGAGGCAAACGCAGGTTTTGTTTTTGACCCTACTTCAATAGAGTTCCCAGCTGAGTTCACTGCTAGGATGCCATTTGCTGTTGTTCCCAGGAAAACGTATCTAGTCAAAGCAAGTGAGTTAACGGGAATGTATCTAATGGAAAATCTCTGAGATTATAACTTCAGAGATCTGAAACATCTGACTGGAAACTAATAGGCTTACCTCTAAGAATTGCTCCCCCTGTTCCATGTCCTCGTCTGGCTGGTTGGCGGTGATTACACCCTGTGAAAGAAAAGAAAGTGCTACAAGTTAATCCAATTTTGGAGAAAAAAGGATGAATTATTTATCTTCTTTGTAGAAGGCTGAAATGAACACATTGGAAAATAATTATAAGAATATTCTGTGAGTGCTCTGAGATCATGCATTTGGCCCCAATATTTAAATACCTAATACACGTTTGTTCTTTTTATTTAATTATTGTTTACATGTGTATTAAAAAATGGTCAGATTGTCTATCTTGGATAGTCAGACGGTCTTTCTTCACCTGCTCCTCTGTATTGATTTGGCTCACCTTGGCACTGCCGTGGCTGGATTTGGCCTTCTTGGCTTTGGGTGACTCAACTGCAGCAGTCATAGCTGACAGAGATGATGCTGATGAGGATGAACATAAAGAGCGCCCCCCTGTACCTCCCCCCGGACCCCCGAGGCGCTGACCGCCTCCAGAGAAGGGAATGAAAGGAGCTGAAGGAGCTGAAGGAGCTGAGGGAGTGACAAAGGAGGAGGATGAAGATGAGTGACAGTTCAGTCCTGATGGCCCTGCTTTTTCGCCATCCTCCTCGGGAACTCCTCTGTCGACAGGAGGAATCTTGGTCCGCACAGCCTCTTGGGAGTTTTGAACCTCTTCCTGTTGAACAGGAAGTGCGCTTGTTGCAGAGGTGGTAGCTGGCGTAGATTGAGTTTCCATTGGCCTATTAAGGACTGAATTCTTAATTGGCACCTCTGTTGTCGACGTCTCCACACGTGATGCAGTAGCATCCAGGTGAGGTGAGGGGCAAGGTGTGGTTTCCTTGGCAACAAATGATGTTGGCATAGCAGTTGTTTGAGTGGCATCTGAGCCATCTTCCTCTTCCGGATGTTTGTTCTTTTTGAGTAAAAACCTGAAAAAGAAGCGACAAATGCTCTAAGCTGACACTTTTCAATGGACAATAATATGTTTTTTTATTTAAGCTAGCATAAACACAAACATCCTACCTGACGATGGCATTTCCTCCTGTAAGACCCAGAGACTTCAGAGATGTCTTCTTAAGTGCATCTTCCCCACTCACCTACAAACACACACACAGGCACAGCTTTGTGACCATAAGTTAACTTTGATCTGTTAAAGAAGGGAGAGATAAAGGAAGCCTGCATACCTCGTCTCTCATGTAAACACACACAGGCGTGGATCCGGACTCTGACAGCTCTGACACACTAGAATCGGATGATTATAGGAAGAAAAACAAAGATTTAAATTATAGGGGAAATCAGTTTCATTGGCTTTAACAGTAAACAAACAAAACACAGAAGTGACTTTCTCTTGTTCTGCCGTGATTTTACAATAAAACCTCATCCCATGCCATGTCAAGCTGCCTACATGTGTAGAACATGTGTGCACAATCCCGTGTAGGAACTAATTGAACCATAAATGTTTTACTATTGCACTCCTCTATTCTATAATCAAAGCATCTCCATTTGCTTCACAGCAGTCCCAGAGCTTTAACGCTGGTGCGGAGGTCATAATGATTTAAATGAAGAGTGACTTCCCTGGAAAAGGTTCAGGATATGGAAGGTGATGTCATTTATTAGAGAAGAGATGAGAGCTGGATGCAAGCACGAGCATCTGGGACCTCACAGCTGGCACTTTTGAGCAACAGCTCTGCATGAGTGCGAGTATGTGTGCGCGCGTGTGTGTGTGTGTGTGTGTGTGTGTGTGTGAATAAATGTCGGAGATGTGCAGAAGAGGTCAGACCTCAAAAGAAGGCATATCATCTGAAAAACAATGTTTGCCTGCGTTCATTTCTACACACTGAACATCCCGACTTTCACCAAGGCCAGAAAATGTATAAAGCAACTACTTTCCCTGTCGATTACACACAAATTTAATCAGACAAGTCGACCGGTCCTAAGTTAAGAAAACCCTCTGAAACAGAGTACAATTTAGTCTGCAAATCGTGCACATTTCAGGTGGAAACTTAAAGTAAACACACCAATATGGAGATTTGTTGTACTCACACATGCAGTGTATAAGTACAACGGCATTTAAACACATAGCGGGAGCTTGACATACACACACATACACAGTCCTGTTCTGACGTTACACATTGCCACCGTCTCCCTTGTTCCAAACTACATCTGATGGCGGATAAGGTGTGGATCGACGTCAGCCACAGCTCTGCCTCTGTGCATTACACACTGCAGATCAGATGTTAAAGGGCCGAAAGTACCGGCATTGAACTGTCAATATGTAAAGCGCCATGCAAGACACAGCTTGGCCAGATTGTTGTTGTTATTTGTGACCAATATGAGGAGTTTTTTTATTTTGTATTTTCAGTCAAACGTTTAAAACAAGTTGATCTTTTTGTTAATCAACTTTCAAATCTAGCCAGATAAAAAATGCCTTCACTTCCAAAAAAATCCTTTAATTACTTAAAAATGTAGTCAACTGAGTAAATATAGAGCGCACACACACACACACACACACACACACACACACACACACAAGTACACTTTGCACATGTGCATCTACATAAACACACCTGATCTGGGGAAAGTGTGCGAGCAGTTCCCACAGCGTCTGTCCACACGAGAAGGAGCCCTGCAGCCGGGAGCCGTCCTCCATCTGTAGGGCGATCCGCACCTGAGAGATATTAAGATGAACTTTATTGTCCCAGTGGGAGATTTGTCTTGGACTTCACAGAGCTCTGATGCAGTAGCAAAATAACAAAATACATTCATACGGCGGTAAAACATGTCAGTTAAATAATCATTAAATTCCATACAAGTGAATTACTGAAACCATAAATATGTAATAGTTAAGAAAAGTGATAAACAGTGCAGGTACAGCTACACATCTTCACTCACACACTCACACCACCTCATACATGCACACACATTACAGCTTAGGTACTGTTGAGGGTTTTGATGGATAAGGTAACAAAGGTATTTCTGAAACAGTTGTTCCTCCCTCGGGGTACTCTGTATCGTCTGCCTGAGGGGAGGAGCTGGTACTCAGGGTGAAGAACATGAGATGGGTCTGAGATTATTGTTTGTTGAAAGATGTCTTGGAGGCTGGGGTGTTGATGAACTCCCGTGATTTTCATGGCTGTCTTTGTGAGTCTGTTGATTTGGGCCTTTGACTGAACGGTCAAATTTCCAAACCATGCAGAGATACCATATCGTAGGAGGCTCTCTACTACTGCATGGTAGAAGAGAAACCATGGTCACATGCAGCAAAACACCAAACATGAAAATCAATCCACGCTTCAAAATATAGACTCATAGTATGTTTTTCACCTTAATTTAAAAAAAACAATTTTGCTGCACTTCTTGCAAATGAAATGACAAAACTGACAAAGGGATCTTCACCACATGTTAAAAAAATAACATGGAAGCCTCTTGCTACCAGATTTTTTTTAGGTTAAAAACAGGTGGATGCAACACCTGAAACAATTCACAATGAATGAACAGAATCTGACCTAACCTTTAATGCAGAATTTATCACTAACTATATTCTCTATAGCTGTGTCCGTTTGTCGGCTCTTGAGTCCTGAGGCATTTTGCAATAAGAAAATTCTTGGATAATCGAACTTGATTAAGCTGCACATGTGGGCCTACTTCAGTCTGGAAATGAGTAACAGCAGGCATCAGAGCAAGTTTTTGTTGTTCTCTCTCTGACTCATTCTATCAGTTGTTTATGTTTACTCAACAACCATGTTGTCCAGCACAAAAAGTACGCTGCATGTCTGCACACCGGGAGAGATGAAAGGAGCTGTTGGCTGTCAACGGCCAAACTCACACACACACACACACACACACACACACACACACCACTTTGGCTAAGGTGAAGCCTGAGTGTGCCTGTGCCGGTGTGTGTGGTACCAGTCAGTGTGTGTGTTTGAGTATATAAAATCTGTGAGGTATCAACGGTCAACCATCCATCAAATGAACAAGAACAACAGATGAAACACAGCCGTGACTTTATAGCATGGATTATGATGCCATGATGTCATTGGAAACTACAGCTCAGATACAACAAAGAGTTTTTTAGATGCAGGTCAGATCAGAGTGAACACGGGAACACAGACGGAGAATTTATTCATTTCCAGGTCCTGACAAAGAAACCCGCATATACTCTCATAACGCAGAATAGAGTTATTAATCGATAGTCTGGGAATTTTATCTCTCTTCCATGTGATGTAATACTGATAGTCTGGCACAAGTATCACCATACTTTCTGTTGAGTTAACAAAGCAGAGGTATTTCCTTTCTTTCCTGCAGACATTTCCTTTTGCCGATTGCTGATTGAAGGTTGTCTGACACTGCAATCTAAGCAAGGTGTCCATGTGGCTCAGATTCTCGGTAATTTGCACCATTTCATTGCACCATTAACCATGTCAAAGTGAAAGCACATTACAGATTATTTGCTCTATGAATCCTTACTGGTATGTTTGGACAGGTAACAGTTTAAAAACAGAAAACAAAGCTATAGAAATCAAATGAATGTAGATGCCTTACTGCAGGGCATGAGGGAGCATCCTTACAGTTTATTTACTCATTTACAAAATACGAACAGACTCCTGCTGTTTACAGTCACTATTTACTGACAGTTCTTTATAAACACCAGATTTCAACCCATCGGAAAATCTTTGAGAGACTTTAACTGACGTTTTTAACAGCACTCTAAACTAGTGTCATCAAAGTTAGTCACATTTATGGTCAAGTGGAAGTAAAAAAAGAACAGGTTTCCTTTAGAAGCTTAAAGGTCCCATATTATGCTTTTTCTGGTTTTATATGCTCTTTAGTGTGTTTTCCAAGTGTCCTGTGCATGTTTAGGCAATTCTATATGCAAAAATTCAAAGTCCGCTGAAACGCGGCTTCTCCTACGTCCTCCTGTTAGCTGTAGCATTAGCTGTATGTAACGCTCGGTTCTAGCCCCCCTCGATAAAAATTTGTCAGTGCGACGTCATTGTCAGTGTGAGATCACTGATCTAAGTCCATCGGCTCGTTGTGGCAAGCCCAGCAGCTCATGTTGAAATTTCCGAGACGCGTGCTGAGCAACTGACCAATAAGGACAGAGCGGATCGGCAGACCAATCAGAGCAGACTTGGCCCACGTGGAGTCTAACAGTGTGGGCTCAACAGAGTGTAGCTGACGGACTCAGAGCGTAGAGGGAGCAAGGAGGAGCAGTACATGAAAACAGACACTTTTTCGGACTTTAGCTATTGTGAACGTACAAAAGTAGGTACATAGATTAAATATACGAACCCCAAAAAGGGCAGAATATGGGCTCTTTAAATAATCAACAACACAACAGTGAGCCCTGAAGCTGCTCTGGTGGAAGATCTTAATGAGGCACTTTGGTTTCCCAGTTCACAGTCCAGGATACCTCAGTTTACTGATATTTTGGACAGTTTGGGTCCGTATGATTTGATTGGTTGGTTTGCTAACCTGCCAACTTTCCTACCTGTCTTCGTGAGAACAATGCACCTATGCACTTACTGCGAATAAGCAAAGTCTTCCACAAGCTAAATGGAGCCAGCTAATCACAACAGAGTGACAGTGAAAGGTAGATTGATACTGTTAGCGATGACTGTTGCGCACTGCTCTACTCTCCCACACTGCATTGTGGACTCATGACATGGCATGTTAACATTGTTTGTTTAAAAACAGCAATGGCATGTCGTTAGATCATTTCAAAATCTCGCCTGCTTTCACTGACTCCACCAGAGCTCTTAACCCTACCTGTATATGAAATATTAGGAATGTTCTACCAGAAAGTTCCCATCTGCCTGAATAAAAAACAACAACAAGAAAACAACAGCATATTTATGGGGGCAATCTAAGTGTAACTGGTTGTGGAACTTGACTGTGTAAGTAAGTCATAGATCTGCAAATACATACAGATCCCGAAGCTACTATAATATAAATGTTGAAACTTTTTGACAGTGAAACCCATGTTAATAAATGACAAACTTTTTATCTGCAGATTCTCTTCAATGTTTAAAAATTGTGACAAATCTTGTTGAGGATAAAAACATGTAAAACGTATTTGTATGTATTTGATCCTATGATTACCATACATTTTTCAGTTTCACTTAATCAGACCCGAGTATAAAGCTCCTAAACAAGCACTGTCAGCAACACCAGATAGCAAGATAAACACAAGCGCATATCTTTGTGCATGAGCTTTATGAACACTTTGGTTCACCAACCTGGCTATCAGCTGCAGCCTGTTTCCTCGTACTCGTGACAATTTCCAGTTTAGCATTGTTGGGCAGGTTAGCGAACCTCCATGGCAGCGTGAGGTCAACAGTAGTCCTCTGAAACCTGTTCAGATTTGACGACAGAAGAGAGGCAGGTGAGCATAACGAGACAATTCAATCAAACATCTGATAACAGGGTTTCCTCTAGGTTTAACTGTAAAACAAAGACAGTATTAACGGGATCATGGAGGGTATATATATTATGATCCTTTATGCACACAAAACCATGCCACCCCTGCACAAGTCGAGGCCCCCAGTCAAAGAAGCCTGGACTCGCCCCTGCTTGTTTAACTGGCGTGCTTGCTAGTGTAATATGTTACAGTACAGGGGGGTGGGCCCCGACTCCTCATGAATGTGAAAATAAAATAATAATGTTAAGTCAACTTGACGATATATCTCTCCTCCAGGCGTACTGCCTTCTCTTGGTATTATAAATAAAGCAATAAGAAATTACTTGATCCCTTAATGCATTAAAAACAAGTAGCAATCTTCACCTTGACTCATCTTACTAAGATGAAGGAAAATATAAATTAAATCATGGGTCTTTAATCCCACCTGAACACATCACATATATCTGGATAATGTTATTGTCCTCACCTTAACATCAGGTAAACAACCAAATAAAAGGGATTCAGTACACACACGGGTTTTCAGTGTTAAAATGTGTCTTTTCTGGGTGATTAATGTGATTAATAGTTTCTGTTCAGGACTGAATCTAACTTTGATTTATCGTCATGTTTACACTTTGACAGCTTCAGATACTCACTTCAAACCGTGGTCGTCCGGATTAAATCCATGTTTTTTGCAGACATCCTCTAGTACCTAAAGATGGAAGATATACAATTCATTTAAGAGACGAAGTGTTCCCACACAAAAAGAAAAACAATTCCAGTTTAATCATCTTAAAAACAAAAACTGATCTGTCACTGGCTAACAGATGTTAGCCGAACAAGCTAACTCAGAGGACTCCAGTTCGCTCCGGTTCGGAAACAAAGGAATAAAACAACCCGTCCACGGCAGTAACACGACGTGGTGCTGAAACAGAAGTTACCTGTAATAAAGGTGTGTTAGCGGACACTTTCACGGTTTGTCTTCTCCCATTTGGAGTGAGGACCGTTACAGCTGTGCCACTGGCTGCCATTGTGTGTCGTGACGTCACTGTGTTTGTTTGAATAAACTTTATTGACAAGTTACAAAACATTACAGGACCAACTCGAACAATTATTAAAAATACATTTCTTGTTAATAATTCTCAGAAGAAGTAGAAGAAGGGAAACGGTGTAATTTAGGAAACAGAAGAAAAAAAGTAAAAAAAAAAAATCCTTCCATCAATTCAAATAAATATGCATTTGCTAATATCTGAGTCTTTACACTTGTCTACACTTTTCTGAGGTTGGGTTGTGTGTGCAGTGAGCAGGCGGTGAGGTAATCCTTCTATGGTCCCTCCTCTCCTCGAGGAAGGCACTCAACATATTTCGAGTGAGAGTAAATTGTAAATTATTGTAGCCAGGATTTCCAACAAAATAAGTGATGAAATTAGATTGAGCGAGCGTTGTAATAATTTCATCTAGAG